CACTACGCTGCGCTACAGCGCTTTTTAGCGGTTTTTGGCCGCTTTTTCCGCTAAAAGCGCTGTAGCGCAGCGTAGCGTAGCGAAAAACCGCTACAAAAATGCTAACACTACCGTTTTTGGATGAAAAAAAAGCGCCGCTACGCTACGCTTTTTGGGTCAAAAGCGTAGCGGCCCACCGCTGCCTATACCTAACCCAAACCCCCTAACCCTAACCCTAACCACCTAACCCCAACCACTGAAACCTAAACCCCTGACCCCAACCCCCTAACCCTAACAACAAAAAACCTGCCCCCTAACCTGCCACCAGCTCTCCTTGTTTTTGAGTATAAGTGGAAGAAACATACAAATTTTCATCCGCTTAAATTGGAAAAATTTAACTGAAAAAGGTGTAGCTGTTTTCTCCTCTTTTTTATACTTCTTTCCTCCTGAAAAGGCTTATCAACAATGTATAGTATAATTTCTTGAGATGGTCTGGATCCAAATATCATGTTGCACCAAATCAAAATTTCAACTAAAGCTTGTAGATGAGAAGTTGAACTTCACAGGGCTATCATCTGTGTGTTGTTTTGATAGGTGATTGTGAGGCATGGGTAAAATTAAACACTTTAACCTCAAAGTACAGCGGCACAGCCACCTTGTACTGACAATGTAATTGAATGGGTTGACAATACCCCAGTTTGACTGGGATTCAAGTTGGATTCCAACCAATGAAATATAAATCCAATGAACTTGGTTTATATTCAATTGGTTGAGATGCAACCAAGTTCAACTTGGCTGATTGTATCCCAGTTAAACTGGGAAACCCTCAAGTTTGCAACCTAGCCAATTATGCTGGCAGTGAATTAGTCTCTAGTATCCCATAAATAATCAATTCTTTCTTGCTGGGAAACCTCCATATTACGTAATCATATTGTTGAGTTTCTCTTCAAACAATATTTGATCATTTATGAAAGATACATACATGAATATTTACATACTCAACTGCGAACACCATATCTGTAGTTCATCTCTTTGGTCTTGACTGTCATGATTTTTATGTTCAATAACTCATTTTAGTCTTTCAATTTGTATGTTGTACATACAACTCCCAATGTTGGTTTTGCCATTTGTATCAATGCTGAAACTGAGATAAGACATGTATTGGTGTTGGTGTGTATTGTCTCTCTTGTGAGCCTAATACCTGGTCTCATTATTTCCTTTCTTGGTGAGACAATCCACTGTCTTGTATTCAGTGGCTTACACCATGAATTTTTTTTCTCTTGTTTTTCTCTTTGATACAGCCAAATATATTGTGTATTGAAGGCATTTTTGGTGGGATCAGCCCTCTGAGATGATGCACAATATTTGTCTCACTTTCCAAAGACAATGTGTGTGTATTTTTTCAGGAAAGTGAGACAACACAGGGATTACTATTTTTGGGTATTCAAATTCTGAGAAAATACAAACACAAACCTGATACTGTCTCATCTGGTCTCATCTCAGTTTCAGTGGTGTTGGTATAGATTCAAAAAAAAAAACTCACTCAGCCTGAAATATGTTTTGTGGATTGTAAATTTATCCCATCAGTCACCTTCAGAAGCTTGAAGGCAATCAAGACTAAAATTGTTAACACACTGCTATAATTTCTTTTCTGACATATATTTTGATCATTTGATACTTATACCTTTCTTTCCGCTATGAAAGTTCACTTCAGATTCCATCAAATAGCATTTATGGTCCTGAGCCTCTTGAATATACTTCAATTCATGGATGGAAATGGTGATTTCTTTGGAATTTTCCCTGTCTTGTAGCCACTCCAAAGTAAAAATGCTAATCTGAATTTACTGGATTGATATCTATCATTCATTTCAGTCCCTAAATCTGAATTGATGTTGAAAAATAGAGTCGAGTCTGTGATTTTTCCCAGGAAAAAAAATATTTCTTTGCAAGGAATGGGTTCACCAACAAAACCTTCAGAAGATGATGACAATTTGAAAAGAAAACTAGATATATTTAATGGTAAGCTGAAATCCAATTCTATGACTGATAGAATGAAGCAACTGAATGGTCATTTGTTTTTCTTGATGAAATGAATCCAAATGCTACCATTGTTTATGAATTCAAGATCAAGAAAATCAGATCAAGAATGATTATTGGGTTCTAAATTTCAACATGGAAAATATGATCAATAATTCTGCTTTGGATAAAATTGAAAAAGAGGAACCTGAAAGTAATGAAATGCTTCAAAAAATCTCTCAAGAGTTGAAAGACAATCATAACTTTATAAAGTTTCAAACACAACAAAAGGTTTTTGAATTGAGGGGGAATATGAAGAAAACTAGAAAAAATGAAATATTGGTTGAATCATCAATTCCTGAACACAAAGCTTTCCCAAATTTTCCAACACATCAAGGCAAATTCAACCCCTTATTTTTGGATGGAGATGTGATGATAATTGATGAGAGCATTTTGAAAGCTATGATTGAGAAATCCAAAGAAACATTAGATGCACTGAATTCATTGAAAAAAAGAACATCTAATATTGAGATATGTCATGCAGTATCTGAAACACAAAGCCTTGTCTTTCAGCAGATTGACTATATGTACAAGTACAGCTTTATATCACAACATCATTTCAGGTATTTTTTGAGAATGGATAACACACTACAAATAGCTTCAGAGAACTTGATTGAAACTTCAAAAATTAAACATGGATCCTCTTCTGCAAATATAATTTTCCCCAGCAAGAAGGTTATTCAAAGAAACAGGAATTTTGCTCACTTCAGGAATTTCTTCAAAGGTGAGAAAATTTCTCAATGGTTGATTTTTCATGTGATTCATCCTTTTTTTCCTACACATCTGTAGTGGTATGCATATATTCCTAAGTGCATTTTTGACCCATTGTTTTTTTTTTGTTGAAAATAAACAAAATCATAGAACTTGAGGATAGGGAGCAGAGATACTTTTGCTTTTTGACTATCAAGGAATTGATGAAATATCATAAATCACAATGTATATATTTCAGACAATGGTCTGATATTCCTTTTGGAGATTCAATTTTTGATTTATTAGAAAGCAGATTGGAAGTTAGGACACAATATCCACAGGGAAACAATCAAAACACACCTAAGGAGAAAGTGTTGGGAAAATGGATTGAGCAAAAAAAGCTTTTTTCTTCAATCAAGCATTCATTCAAGGGCATCTCTACAACTGACCAGATACTCTCATACTGTTTCATAGAATATCACCAAGAAAATTATGAAAAACTTGCCTCAAAAGAAGGATTGAAATATCTATATCCAGAAGAAATTGTTGATTATATGTCTATCATATTTCAATATACCGAGAAGCTAAAAGATATTGAAATTGAAGTCAAAGAAATCATCAGTTCCAAATTTCTTGGTAGGAACTGCTGTCATATTTGCAACAAGCCAGATAAGAACAGGATGCATTATCATAAGGAGGTTTCAAGGATCTCCAAGGATCTTCATTCTTTGACAAACAGCTCTCCATATTGCAACATTTTCCATCCTACTCCCTATTATTTGAAGACACAATTCATTGTCTCAACATGCTCTTTGCAGGAGCTCATTGTGAATTCTATTTGGGAATGCAAACACAAAGAATTATCAGAGGATCTCTAAAAAACCAGGTTTTTCTTGTAAAAAAAAGAAGATATAACTAGACATTCAATTGGATTTGAATCCATTTCATAATCCATACATTTATGATTTATTTTGTTGTATCAACTTTTTATAACTGGTCACTTTTTTCCACTAGATCTTCATGATATATTTTGATGATTACAATTCAAATAGAATTAGGGTTCCTGGATCTCCACCCACCTCTCTGCTGGCTTTCCAACAACCCCCTGTTGTGTTCTCTGATCCACAAGTTTGATAGAAATTTCAGACATTCTATGGTGGATCAGTAAGCACACTGAATTATCAAAATCCTCCCTGTGGCAGTGTGAAAGGTTGGATTTGGGTGGTCCTTACAAAATATGAAGAGATGCTCACCTCGGCCCATTCACCAAAACAGCTTGGTAATTCACTGTTTGAATTTTCTTGTAGTTTCGATGTTATCAATCCCACTCCAGCTACCAAAACTTAGAAAGGTCAGTAGTACCCCTGCCCAGCTTGCTTGATCAAGTGCTTGGGACACAATCCAAACCCCTGGTTGCACTCAACCATTAGGTGAGGCTGTGGTTTGTGCTCAGACAAGCTAGCAAGACAATGCATATACCAATGGTGGGCCAGATAGGCTAACAATCAAAGTGTAAGGGGTATTCAAAAAAAATCATGGGTTGATAAATCTCAAGAAGGGTTGATGTTATTACCTCAACCTCTGGACAAACCAGGCTTCCAAACATGCTGGCAAGCTCTGTCTTGAGTGGTGCAACTAGCTTAATTTATGCACCCCCCTAATATATATGTAAGGCTCCGTTTGGCCGTCCATTATATCATAAGAAAAAATATGTAAATCCGGATATTCAGAATAAGGTTGATAAACCTTAAACCAACTATCACAAAGCTAGACAATCCTCTGCTTATTACAGTGGATTTTTGGTGCAATAGCGTGACCGACCAAACACAATTTTCACTTATGATAATAAATGCGGTCCCCCGAAAAGATTTGCGGGATTTTCCTGTGATATTTTATGATATCATGGCCTGCCAAACGGAGCCTAAGGTGCGGCGGTTATGTGATGTCATATTGTGGGGCAAGCAATTGCTGAAGTAGTCATCGGCCTGGCAAGACAGTGCAGGACAGGATATCAATCAACTCATATTCAACACAATCTGGCTCAATTTTGAGATCAACCAGGATGGAAAACAGCAACGATGAATGATTTCCCTGGGATGGATGTAATATGACTTGAGAATTGAGGGGAAGAAGTCTCCATCATCATTCATGAAGCTTATGTTAAGTTTGCAAATCCAGATGTTTATTTATTTTTACGGGGTTTGATTGAAAACCCAAAGTCGAAATTCGCCCCAGAACTTTAAAATAAGCAGAACCATGTTTTGGTCAAACTGTACAAAATCATGTGGATTGTATCTCCCCACCCCAGCCACTGCAGTGCCACTACATTGTAGCTTAGTAGTACATAATAATATATTGACTCGAGAATCGAAGCTTGGTTGAAGCGTTCGAGTGTCCAACGACCAATCAACCTGCAAGAAGACTGCCACGATGACCACCACCACCACCAACAGATCATCAACACGAACCTCGTTCTCATCAAGTCAGACGATCATCGAACCAGAACGACAGCAGGAACTACAACTACAACTGAACAACAACAACAACAACAGCAGTAGTAGTAGTAGTACTACTAACAGCCAAGTCGAACACTCCAGGATTCAAGTACAGCAAGCTCATCAACCAACCGAACGAGGAGAAGCTGAGCGAAGGAACGGCGAGGAAGATGCGGATGAGGAACATGAACGAAGGCTGAGGCTGATCGAGGTGAATCGGACTCGGACGAGACTGATCGAAGAAGAGCTCGAAGAAGAGCCTCCCCCTCTGGCGGGACTGCCCGGCTCAGCGCCTCCAACCGCCGTCCTGACTAATCACTGCCAACCGCCACTGCCGATCAAGGAACCCCTGCCCGAGACCATCATCCCACTCGAGATCTTACTCAGCCCGATCAACCAGAAGAAGGCCTTCCACTTCGACCACCTCCTCTCCATTGCTGAGCTCATCAACCATCTCCTCAACAACTGGCCTGCCGGTCAGTACACTCTCCATCACTCACTCACTGCCCATGATCAACCTTCATCTCAGGCCCAATATTGCTTCTCTCCAACAGATTGGTCCCAGCCTGGCTCCACTATCCCTCATCACACCCATCAGTTCAGAATGGTCTACATGGGCAGGTTCTTGGACGATCAAGAAACCTTAAACAGTTGAGACTCCCTCCTTCAATTTGATTGTCAATAAAAGGTTCAAAGACATACGCCATCTACTCCCCTTTTCAAATATCCATTTATTTTTGATATTCATCTGAGTCAAGTGGTAACAGTTTACACATGAAAATCATAATTGACATAAATTCTTCTTCTTCTTCTTTTTATTATCCTTATGCTGTATTTTTTGAAATGAATCGAAATTGATGGTGACAGGTTTAGGCAAGAACCGACCGATCATCATCCATTTAGTGATCAAGCCGGACGAAGGAGCAGTTGAGGAAGAAGGTACATAGTAGCTCCCCCTCCAAGATCATCTAACATCAATCGGGACAGATGAGGGCGAAGAAGAGCGAGCGAGCGAACAAATAAAAAAAAATACATCTTGTTTAATGTAGGAAGTACGTACTGATATTCTGCTTGTTGTCATCATTTACACAGCAGAAGTCGACGAGGATAAGCCGAGTCTCTGTGGCTGTTTCGCTAGGTTCAGAGAGCGACCCAGCCGCTCGGCCGCCGACCATCCCGACCAACAAACCAGACCCTCCTCCGGGGCTTGCTCGATCGTCTAATCACTACCTCAATCTACTTTCTCTGGTCGCTCTTCGGCTTATCGTAATCACTCGACTCATCCTTCACTCTCACCTGTATCTACATCTCTCTCTGTCTCCTCAAGCTACGATCCACCCCTTCCTTAAATTACTTTTGCTCTTATCTAGTTTACTACTGCTCAAGCTCATCACAAGAAAAATATTCTTCCTTCCACGGTATATACTTGTTTTCTACGCAAATCATTTCACCCTCTTCTTCTCCTTTAATCTCCTTTTTCTTCTGTTTCTTTTTTTTTTGTTGATGCTGATGTTGAATTGTTTTTAGGGTGTTATCAAAAAAAAAAAGTAGTTAGTGATACTTATTGTTGACTGTCCTCATAGTTACTTACTTATTCGACCATCCACACTCCATTTCTTCTTCTCCTGATATTGACTAACAAGAAAAAAAACAAAGTTGTATACATATTCATATATAAACCTTACACACACCAGTTTCCAAATTTACCATTACTTGTATGATAACTATACCCTTTCCAATTCTTTTGTATCTATAAATCCTTCTATTACATTGATGTGTATATTGTATTTATATGTAAGTGGCTGCTTTGGTTCTAGATATATTCAAGTATACATGTGGGTCTCCGATTTCATTGCTGGCTGTCTTTCTTTCTTTTCCATCACTTGGCCCATCTGACTTCTTACCCTTCACTGACTCGGCCACTGGGGCCTTCACCGATTCAAGTGCTTCCTCCCCACACCCGCCCCCCAGAACATCCTGGACGTCCTACAGGGAACCAATAAAGCAAAGCATCACCAATGTTCATTTGATGGTGTGGCCCTAATTATAGGCCTCATAGCTATCAATCAATATTGATGAGAGTAGGCTGATTTGTTGCTTGCCAATCCTGATTCTAAGTTAAGCATCTCACTGTATAGCGGTCAAGCAGTTTTGAAATCCATGTTGGGCAAATGATTTGTAGCCAAGAAACACAGAGTCTATCACACTCAAAATTGGCAGGTCAATAGTACCTCAACAGGTGTTACTTGAACTGACTTGTGTAAAATACTCAAAAATTACATTGTGTACTAATGCCAACGACTTTAGCACACCAGTTATCCCAAGAATACCACTATATGGGTCTTTCCAAGGTGGATGTGGCTCTGGTGGAATTTATGAAACAAAAAAACAA